GTGGGGCTCCATTGTGTGGAACGCGTCCATTTGGTTCATCCATTTCCCATTAAAGAATATTTGGGTTGTTTCCAGTTTGTTGGTGACTGTAGACAAAGCTGCCGAAACCACCCATGTGCACCTTTGGTGTGAGTGGAGCTTTCCGTGCCAGCTGGGTCAACGCCAGGGGCGGATTGCTGGGCCGTGTGCTTCACGTTACAGGAGCCCACAGAGCGGAGGAATTTGCAATCCTAGACTTTACACAACTGCCTGGGGACAGGGCAGGTAGTCAGACAGAGCTGAGCAGCAGAAGGAGGGAACTAGCCCCGGTCTGGACGCCCCCGGCTGCAGCTCCTACCTGGGTCAAGAACCCTTACAGCTGCCCTCACTGAGGGCACCCACGACTCACTGGCCCAGCAGGACTCCAGGTCACAGCTGCCCTCAATCAATGGGGTGTGTTGTTAGGAGAGAGAGAGAGAGAGAGAGAGAGAGAGAGAGAGAGAGAGAGAGNTTTAGGTAACTCACATGTCAGCTTCATTAAACTTGACCTGACCTGACTTTTATTCCTGGGATGATCTCGTGCCATTTTCAGTCTTCAGTAACTTTTGAGCCCTCTGTTGTCACAGTCTCCACACCCCAGGGGACGTTCCGTGACGATTCAGACCTGCCCTGTTTGCATTCAGATTTGCATTCCCTTGAAATGAGCGAGGCGAGCTGAACATAAATAACCTCACTGCACCTCTGCAGGTTGGCATAAGACGATTACAGGGCACAGTGTCTGCCATCTTGTCAGCAGTCCCCTCACTGTCCTCTCAAAGCCAACTTCTGACAAGTGATGCCCCCTCAGAGGGGGAGTCCAGCCTGTCTACTCCGGTTGCTCATCTCATGTTTTTCTCATGCTAATCTGTCTATCTGTATGTCTCGGCCTCTTTGGTCCGGCCTGAAGGGAACCACAACCTGCCTGTTCCCGTGTCCATCTCCTCTTTCTTCTTCCCACGTGTCTTCCAAAGGTACAGCCCGACTCCCACAATCAGCAGCGCAGCCATGACAGGACGTGTGAGGCCTGGCAGGTGGCGACCAGTGGCCTGTCCCTGTAGATCTGTTTCCCTCACATGGAGAGTGAGGAAGGGTAAGACAAGAGAGAACGTGAGGTACCCACTGCCAAGGGGAGAGAGAGACACAGCAGGTGGGGAAGTCTGCGGGGTCCTGGTTCAGTGCCGAGGACAGAGCAGCATGGCAGGTACAGAGAGATGACAAGGATGGTGTTGCCCCGAGGAGCTCGTCACCCAGGAGGGAGGACAGGAAATACCGGATGTGGTGATGGGTAACCTGAGTCTGGAGGGAGTCGTAAGAGCTTCAGACATCTAGGTGGCCACAGCACTCCAGGAAAGGGGCGCCCTGGAGAAAGCGAGCGCTTGGGAGTTGCCAGCACCCCTGGGGCTGGCAGGTCATGGACGAAGCAGGAATGATTGGGGGTCTTGTGGGTCATGCTGAGAGTTGAAATTCACCTGGGACATCAGACTGTGGTGGGGGAAAGGGTGATGGGTTTTACGTGATGCTGACACGTCAGACCCCTCAGCGGGTGGGGGATGGGTTCAGAGTCAAGCCTGCACACATGGGCACAGGTGAGTCATTCATTCAGTGAGACACTGGCTGTGAGCACACTTTCCCAGAAGCCCTGCTTGGCACATGGATCCAAAGTATGAAAAGGAGTCCAGGTTACAAAGGACACCCATCCATCACAGAGAGAGCACTGCCACCAGTGTAGGGGACATGGACTGCTCCTGGAAGGAGGTGTCACCTGATGGCCTAAGAAAAACAGCAGCTGCATGGCCCCGGGCAAACAAGAACCAGGAGCCCATTGTTCAACTTTAAAGGCAGAGCTGGAAACCCAGTGAGGGGCCCTGTGTGACAGCATAGGTCACATGATCACAAAGTCAGCCATGTATGAGGGAAACCCTTCAATAAAATATGACAAGAAATTAAGGATTTGTGTGAGATGGCGGNCAGCTTCTGCATCAGGACGCTTTCCCGATGCCCCCGCCCTGCTGCTCACCCCCGCCCCAGACGAGGCTTCCCATGTCGGGACCACCTCCGGCTGTGCCCAGAACGCCAGCGTCTGACGCTGGCAAAGCCACTGGTCCCCACCGCTGCCCCTCCTGGCCCGCTTCCCAGATGTACAGGCCCGGAGGAGGCAGGAGGCAGCGCCCTCAGGTGGTTACTGGAGACCCTGCCTCCGCCTGGCACCAGCCTGGGGATCTGGTGACACCTAGTGGCCACTGTTGAGAACTGCAGCTTTTCTTGGCGTTTCCAAGTACATGTACCTTCTCTCATGCACCTGATACAGCGAGTATTGTTAATCATCATCACTGTGTTACACACAGGTCCCCGGAACTTGCTCAACTTATCGGTGGACTTTGTGCCCTCTGCCCAGCACCTCCCCACATCCTGCACCCCCATCCCTGGTGACCGCCCTTCTACTGTCTTATATCTATGACTTCAGCTTTTGTAGATTCCACGTATGTGGCCACGTATATTTTTGTTTCTCTGTCTGACTTATTTCACTTAGTGTAAGACCCTCAAGGGTGTCACAAAAGACAAGATATTCTTTTTTATTGCTGAATTATATATATATATGTGTGTGTGTGTGTGTGTGTGTGTGTGTATGTGGATATATATATATATATATACATATATATATATAGTTGTTGGAAAAGTCATGACGTATTTTGTCTATAATTTTCAAAGGTCATTTATTTCTATAAACAATAAAGATCAATCAATGATATATTGCCCGTTTTGTTTGAAAACCTTTTGCCATTTTTCAGTGAGCTTCATAATTCCTTGTTCATAGAAGGACCTGTCTTTATTTGTGTAAAACTGAACAAGGTGCTGATTTACAGCCTCATCTGAATTGAACGTTACACCACGCAAGGAATTCTAAAGAGAGTGAAAAAAGTGGAAGTCTCACGGTGCAACGTCAGGCAAGTATGGTGGGTGTGGCAACCCATCCCATCCAAGCTCTTATCATTTTTGATGGGAGATCAAACTTGTGTGTGGTCTCCTGTTGTCACGATGGAACACAACTCCTTTACAATTAACAAGTTCTGGACGTTTCTGGATGATGGATTTGTTCAAACTGTCCAATTGCCAACAGTACACATTCGAATTGATTGTTTGGTTCCTTGGTAGGAGCCTTCTCCTGCTGCTTCCACTTAAATGACATGCAGGGCTCGGCCTGGCCTGTGGACCTCACTGTAGATAGTAGTCACAGGTCTCTTTCCTTCCAGATGTTGTCCAGGGATGCGCTAGGAGTGCAAAACACGTGTCACCTGGAGCACCTGAGGGGTCCCCAGGGGCCTGCGTGGAAGCAGTGCTGCTGACATGACTGCAGAAGTGTCTCCCAAAGGGCCCGCACAACACGGGTCCCCTGTAAACGTTCTTACTGCTATGTCGACTCACCAGAAGGAGGTAAGGAGGCAGAGGAGCCAGAAAGGGCAGATGACCGGGTTTGACAAGCCCAACGGGGGCACACAGGGACCTTGGGGAGCCCAGGTGGCACTGCTCCCAGCTCTCACCTTGTCCCCGCCCTCCTTGGGCTCTTGTTTTCTCAGCTATACATCGTGGATGTCATCCTCATGGTTCCACCGGCCCTCCTCCAATCCCGCACCTGAGTCACACACAAAATAAAGCTCGACTCTGAGCCTCAGAAACCTGTACACCCCCCACTGCTGTGACCCCCAAGACCACGGCCACACCACCACCCTGTGCAGGGACAAGGGACAAAGGGAGCCAAGGGCACCGTGCGGGAGGGCGGGTCCGGGCCTGAAGGGGAACCGCAACGTGCCTATTCCCATCTCCATCTCCTCTTTCTTCTTCCCACGTCTTCCAAAGGTACAGCCCGACTCCCACAGTCAGCAGCGCAGCCATGACAACACTTGCGAGGACTATCATGTGGCGACCAGTGGCCTGTCCCTGTGTATCTGTTTCCCTCACATGGAGAGAGTGAGGAAGGGTAAGACAAGAGAGAACGTGAGGTACCCACTGCCAAGGGGAGAGAGAGACAGAGCAGGTGGGGAAGTCCGCAGGGTCCTGGTTCAGTGCCGAGGACGGAGCAGCATGGCAGGTACAGAGAGATGACAAGGATGGTGTTGCCCCGAGGAGCTCGTCACCCAGGAGGGAGGACAGGAAATACCGGATGTGGTGATGGGTAACCTGAGTCTGGAGGGAGTCGTAGGAGTTTCCCAGATAGTCTGGGTGGCATGGCACTCTAGGAGGGGGGCACCCAGGAGTTGCCAGCACCCTTGGGGCCGGGAGGACAGGGATGGGGCAGGAATGATTGGGTGTCTTGTGGGTCATGCTGAGAGTTGAAATTCACCTGGGACATCAGATTGTGGTGGGAGGAGAGGGTGATGGGTTTTACGTGATGCTGACACGTCAGACCCCTCAGCAGGTTGGGGATGGGTTCAATGCCAAGGCTGCACACAGGGGCACAGGTGAGTCACTCGGTGAAACACCAGCTGTGAGCAAACTTGTCCAAAAGCCCTGCTTGGCACATGGAGCCAAAGGACGACAAGGTGTCTGGGCTATAAGGGACACGCATCCATCACAGACACAGCACTGCCACCAGTGTGGGGGACATGGACTGCTCCTGGAAGGAGGTAACGCCTGAAGGCAAAAGGAAAACAGCAGCTGCATGGTCCTGTGCAAACAAGAACCAGGAGCCCTTTGCTCAACTTCATTAAAAGCTGAGCTTGAAACCCAGCGAGGGGCCCTGTGTAACAGCATGGGTCACATGATCACAAAGTCAGCCGTGCCTGTGGGAAACCCTTTAATAAAATATGACAAGAAATGAAGGATTCGTGTGGGAGGGCGGATGGTAGAGACACAGAGTGTCTGGAGCTCACAGCCTGCAAAGGCAAGATGTATCGGGAAGCGTTGGGTGTGCGGGGTATGAGTGAGGTCAGACACATGGGTGGGTGGTGTCCCCCCAGGATATCCTTCAGGGAGCCCCTGGAGACCAATCCCACAGAAGACACAGAAAATGACACAATTTAGGTTCTGTGTCCAGAAGACGGCTCTGGGTGACGGTGGGGGTGGGAGGAAGGCTTCCTCCTGGGTCAGCAGGGCCCAGGGTGCAGAGGAGGGCACGACGGTGAGAGACATTTAAATGCTGACACAAGTTGGGTGTGACTCCCAGCCGCTCTGTGTGTGTGACCAGGTGGAAGGTGTGCTGTAACCTGCAGGGACCGCAGTGCTACCTTTCCCCAGGCAGGTTATACTCACGATTGGCACAGACGTCCCCCAGGGTGGTGGTGGCAGTTTTCAGGTCCACCTGGTTGCTGGCGATACAGGTGAGGTTGGTGTTGGCCTGGTCCAGGGGCAGGCGCACAGCCAGGGCCCAGACGCTGGGGCCTGGTCCCAAGGTCCCTGTCTGCTGCCACTTCCTGGGGAGGTCACTGTGCCACCAGGTCACATTCAGGTCCTCCGAGGCCCCCTCGGCTCTGCACTCCAGGGTGACATTGCACCAGTCAGCTGTGACAGACAGTGACTTGGCCAGGATCTGGGGGAGGGGCACCGGCTCTGCGGTGGAGGGGAGGGGGAGACAGAAAGCTCAGGTTGGGGGCCCTTCACAGTGCAGGTTCTCACCCAGTCTCACCGAGCGCTGGCGTCCTCCTGCTGAGGAGGTGAGAGCATTTTCCAGGTGAAACAGAATTGGCCACAATACACAGCAAGTGATCACAAGGAAGGGAGCTGTGGGGTGAAGCCCGACATGATTCCACCAGACTCAGCAAGTCTTAAAAATCTCCCTCAAGAAAATAAAGCCTGGACCCCACCTACTCAAGGCCCATCATTTCTCAGAAGTTGGGGTGTCTCCTGGGAGGTGCAGAGTCTGGCATAGGAGGAACGGCCCAGGCCAGGGCCGTGCTCTGCATCTCCTGCTGAGGCCCCGTGGGACGGCTCGGCCCAAGGAGAGAGGAAGCCACCAGCTCTGGGAGCCCAGAGAAAGCCTGTGCTCCTGCAAACAGACATTTGTGGGAAAGGCGGTGATAGTGACGAGGAAGGGCCACTGTGAGCGTGGTTAGCACAGGCCACTGAACTTGAGGTCCACACAGGAAGTCAAGTGACAGAATCCTACGGGGACTTAAAGCTGCAGAAGCCACTGGCTGCAGCAGGACATGCCCTATGCAGAGAGGTTCTCTAGGGAAGGAAAGAAGTGGCCTGATGAGCCTAAGAAGTGTGGCAGCGTGACCTGTCCCCGGCATGTCTGGAGGCTTTCCGAGCTGGATGTGTGAGGTGTTGGTGAGTGAGGCCTCGGGCAGGTGCTGTGTGAGCACGGGCGGGGCAGGGAGCACCTGCCTACACGTGGGTTTCCAGACTGTGGTGGTCCGAGCAGCGGCCCCCACGATGTCCACGTGGTAACTGTGAAATCCTGTGAGCACGTTGGATGACTCGCAAGGAGAATAAGGGAGCAGAATTACCATTGCTAATCAACTGCAGGACAATAAGGAGGTTCTTGGGGAGAGTCTGGGTGGGACCCGTGTGAGCTCAGGTCCTTCAAAGTGGAAACGGAGTGAGAGAGTTCAGAGGGCGGCAGTGTCAGGAGGACGAGACCCAGCACTGCTGGCCTGGGAGGCGGGGAGGGCGGCCCCCATGCAGGGATGCGGGTGCAACTGGGAGGTGGGAAGGGTGGTCCCCATGCAGGGACGCGGGTGCCACTGGGAGGTGGGGAGGGCGGACCCCATGCAGGGACGCGGGTGCCACTGGGAGGTGGAAGGGCAGTGTTGGGGCCCCAGAGCCCGCAGAATGGCACCAGACCTGCCGACACCCTGCCCCCCGCTCAGTGTGTGACCTCTCACCTATGGCCGGTGAGATAATGAGTGTGTGTGGATCTCAGCACAGAGCTGTTGTACTTTGTGACAGCAGCACAGGAAACTATCACACGGATGACGTATGGCTGAACTGATTCCTCTAAAGAGGCAGAAGTGTTGTGGCGATAACCCCATCCCCTCCCAGGTTCTGTCTTCCTGTCCCCAAACACTGCAGTGACTCTAGCACAGGTGTGAGTATCAGGTCTGCTCTGCACTTGTGCTGAGCTCACTCACCTGACTTCCCAGGAGCTAAGAAAGACTGAAGGCTGGGTCTGGAAGGATTCCCTGTAGGAGGGCCTATGTGACACTACTGGGGACCAGAAAAGGAGGTGGCCCTGGGAGGGGGTGAGAGGTGTCACCTACCGTAGACAGTGAGGTGGAACACCCGGGTAAATCCCCTTCCTCCGGTGAAGCTGGCTCGAGCCCGGTACTGCCCACTGTCCTCACGGGTCAGGTTCTCAATAAGCAGGGACGTCATATTGTGTGCATGGGCCCTGTGCCTGTACTTGTCCTGGAGGCTGACCCAGGTTGGCAGGTCCCCACTGCTGCCCACTCGCAGCAGGACTCTGTAGTTGGTCTCGGGGCCAAAGCTCCACTCGATCTGCTCCAGCTGAGCTTCTGAGTCTCCTTCCAGCTCGCGAGTCACGTGGAACAACACGGAGCCTCCTTGGACCCTCTTCAGAGAGACGTGGGCTCTGGAATCAGCACCTCCAGAACTCAGGGGCCCAGTGCCGCAGACGCCTAGGGCATCGGAAAAGGGAGACGTGAGGGATGAAGGAAGGACCACACCACCCGTCTTCCGGGGAAGTCACCAGGGCTCTCCCTGGGGTCTCGGAAGGCAGCCTGGGGCAGCGAATGTGAACATTCGGAATCAAGTCCTGCTGTAGCGGGTGCAGCCCTGGGCAGGCCACTCGGCCACCTGCAGACCTGCAGACCCCTCCCTGCCTCACGGTGACAGGTGAGGTAACGAGATCATGGACCGAGATGCCCAGGACATCTCCCGTCAGTGAGAAGCGCATCTGTAGGAAGCAGCTTCTAGAGAGGCTCTGTCCCCCCTCGTGATCACCCTGTGTGACCCTCCCCTGGAGTGTGGCCACACCTGGGACTGGCTTATAAGGAATGGAGTGCCACAGAGCTGGGAGCAGCCTTGGGCCACCGCAGGGGAGGGGCAGGGACCTGGGCCAGCAGCCACAGGGAGTGCATGCCACCAGCAACCGTGATGAGCTGGCAGCAGACCCCTCCCCTGACTCTCAAGCCCCAGCCGAGGTCCTGATTTCTGTCTGAGAGACCCTGAGCCAGAGGAGCCCGCAGAACAGCGGGGGTCCTGATCACAGAAACCCTGACACTGCACAGGGAGGCATTTCAGGCCCTAAGTCTGGGGTAGCAGGGCTCACAGCAGGAATCACCGTGACAATAACCAAGCTGGTCTCTTCCCCCTTTCTAGGCAGAGTAGTGGTCAGGCTGGGCTGGGCAGTGCTGCGGTAACCATGACAACACCTGGGGTCTTAGAACAGGGTGTGTCTGTCCCATGGCACGTGTCCCATGACACAGGGAGGGCGGGGTCCTGGCACGGGGGTGGAGGCTCCACTGATTCGCAGCTGCGCCCCACGGAACCCACATGTTCTCACCGGCTCTCGGCCCCACAGAGGCCAGGGGCCAGGAGCACCACGTGTGGGTTCCGCTTGTCACTTCAGGAACAGTGTGATCCGTGTTATGTTTTGTCTTCACACTAGTGACAGGGCCCTGGGTAACTGCCAGGAACTAGAGAACGCCGGGGGCAAGGATTGTTTGGTGAACTCCACTGTCCCTGCCACCAAGACAGCACTTCCCCAGCCTGTCCCCTTCCTCCCAGGCACCTGAGAGCCCCTGTCCCACCTGGGGACCCGGGGAGGACAGGACAGGACCAGGGGAAGTACCACAAACTATCCAATCTTGAAAGGAAGGACAATCTGATTGCTTCAGCAGGTCAGGGGTCGCCTGGGTTGCTGCTACCTACCGGAATACAGCTGTCCCTCCAAACCAGGAAGTCCTCCTGGCACCAGGCCTGCCTCCGTCCTGCTCACCTGCCCTTCCTGGCTCTCCCTGGGGGCCGAGCGCAGCTCATGCCAATGTTCACATGGCAAGTATTACAGGCATCTCTGTATTCATTTAATAACTGACTTAACCGGGCACATCCTCAGTCTCTTCAGCTCCCCTCATAGGACTGGGTCCCTCATACTGACCATGTGGGGGCTCCAAGGCCAGAGGCCTTCAAGGCCTGCATCATGGGGGCCGCGGTCAGTCTGTTCCTGCCTCAGGCCGTCCAGGAGAGTTACGGGTCTTCCCTCGTCAGCCTCCTGCCAGCTCCTCACAGCTCCTCCTCGGTCCCTTCCTGCCACACGTCCCTCAGTCACCACAGGGCAGGAAGAGGCCTGTGGCAGACACTCGCCTACCCTGGCATGCAGGAGGGACTCCCCGACACAACCCAGTGAAGGTGAGGAATATGGCTGCTCACCATTGTGCTACCAAGTCCCTGTGAACAAGTCAGGAACAGAATGCCATGATGGCCCAGCAATTCCCCTGGACACAGCACCATGGCCCAAAAGCTCCCCAAAACAGCCTCATGGCCCAAAAGGTCCTTAGCACACAGCACTCAGCCCTTTTCTCACCAGAATCCATAATATGTCTGGATTTTGGACTTGTGTCTCTAGACTGTGAGACAATGAACTTCTGTTGCTTAAGCCACCGAGTCAGTGGAATCTTTTCGTGGTCCCAAGACCCCTGAGAAGGTCGCACCCTGGGGCCACGCTGACCTGTGAGGGTTCCCGGGAGCCAGGCCTGGGCTCTTGGCCAGCAAATCACTGAGGTGTTAGCACTGGAGTGACTCGCACCTGGGGGCAAGGCAGCCTTTCCTGGCTGAGGGACCTTTAGCCAGTTCCTCACGTCTAAGCCTGGCGTCCCCACATATGGACAGTGGGTTTGAGGACGGTAAGTGCCGACGGGGCTCCTGCAGGTTGGAGAGAGTGGTCCATAGAAGCATTCAGCAGGGAGTGCTCAGCTGTTACTGCCGTCACTCTAGCAGCGTCTACCTGCCGTGGATTTCCCGGTCAGTTGGATTTTAATACTTTCACTACCTGGAGCAAGAGGCACCCCCACCCACCAGACACACTTCCCTGTACCTGCAAATCAGCAGCTGTCAGACAGCGAGAGTCTAGTGACCCTCACACAACCCATCGAGGTCCTTCCCTTTCCCACTGGCAGGCACGACCGTGTGTGTCCACCGGAGGTAAGGCACGTGTCTACAAGCGCACGCGTGTACCTGCACACACGGGGACACACACACCGCGCTCCCTCTGCCCCTGACTTCCCTCATTGTGACACCTGCGGGAGTCCACTCTGCGTCTGGACACATGGAGGTGACTTGTTTAGTGGCCGCACACTGTTCCAGGTGCCCCACTCGCATCCACTTCTGAGGGACACTTGGCTTGTTTTCTGCCACCACTCACAATGCTGCACTGAGCAGCCTGGAATCTGAGTCTCTGCACACGAGCCTGTGTGTGTGTGTGTATGTGTGTATGAGGCTAGGTCATGGGCGGGTCCAACGGCTGGAAGGTGTGAATATCTGAACCTGTCACAGATTTTGCTAAGTTGCCCTCCAGAGACTGTTCTTACCCACACTTTACCAACAATGTTGAGATTTCCCACCAGCACATGACGATCAAGCTTTTGTCCTTTTGCCAAATTAATAACAGGAAATTTTATGTCATTGTAATTTAAACGCACATTTCTCATATAAGTGAAGTCAATCATTTGATGTTATTGCCATTTTTAAGCTCCTTTTCTGTCAGCTGAAAGTCTGCATTGTCCTCTGCCCCTGTTCCCTTTTCCTGCTAGTTTATGGGAGTTAGACATGTTTTAAGAAGACTGGCCCTGTTATAGTCAGTAATTGCGTTTCAGTGTTGGATCCACTGGAAACTGACAGGGGCGTGAGTCCAGGTGACCTAGTGTGACAGTCAGAAGCCTGGACTCCGCGTCAGAGGCTAGAGTTGATCCAGGTCCTGTTTCCCGGCTGTGTGGACTTGAGTAGTTACTAACCTCCCTGCCTTCAGCTTTCTCGTCCGTGAAATGGAAATGGTCACAGTGCCACCTGACAGAGTTACTCATACGATTTAAGGAGAGCTTTCAGCACCGTGTTCAATAATGGTTCCGACATGTGAGCTGCTCTCATTATTGGGACGATTATTCTTGCCCAAGCTCCCTG